CAGAGTTTCGCACACAACATTCCACGAATATCTCATCCTCTGTATATCCTCCCACTGCAAACATTCTCCCGGCTTCTTTGACGACGCTATTTCATTTTGCTCTGCTTTTTTCAAATTCGAATCAATATAATGGATTTCTCACTCTTCAGCAATACATAACGTAAAAAAATGGGGTGAAATTAAAACCGAACCTCTCAATACCATCTCAGAGACCTCGGGATGTTCGGCTAGGGCCTTTATCAGCAGTGTTATCGTGCAAGCCGAGGTATCGTGCCCGGCCCATATTAAAAGTAGGATGTTGTTTACTATAACTTTTTCGGACATAAACTCCCCATTGTCATCGGGAGTTTGGAGCAAATGAGACAAAAGGTCCTGTGGAGGTGAAGTCGTTTTTTGTTCCAAGGCCTTCTTCCTCTGCTCGAGTATTATTCGGAGCTCCTTCCGAATTTCATCGGCAGCTCTCTTTCCGCGGTAGTATTTTGTTCCCGGGAAATCGAGAGGGATCGATAGAATTCCGGAGAGGAAAATGTTGAAGTGGGAAAAGAGCTTCTTCGTGAGTGATGAATCGTCTACGCTCATGAACAATCGACATGCCACCTCGAATAAATACAGTTTGATTGTTGGGAACACCTTTAGCTCATCTTTGCCTTCAAACAAAATAGTTAGTAAACAAATTGCATCAAATGTGATCAACGGGTGAGACTAAAATACCAAAATTGATTAATTAAGCTGCGACGTTAGGATTGTGAAAGTGAATACTTTAGAATACCAAAAATGAAATTTTACCTTATAAAGATATTGTATATTTGCAACCCTTCTTAATATTTTATAATTGCCACTTGACTTATGTTGTGCTAGACTCATTAGTTAACTTTCTTATTATTATATTCATAAGGGAAAAATGGATGATTATATTATTATCCAATAATTGACAAAAAATGCATTAATGCATTTTTAGATTTGTTGACGCCATATCAATTTTAGTCTCAAGGTTTCATCATTTTGCAATTTGGTCGTGTGATTTAATATTTTGCTCCTATTACAGTCTTTTGAGGATTGAAATTGTAACATAAATTTAAATTATACACGACTGAAATTACAACAAAATTTTAACTCACATGACTTATATTGCTAATCGAAATTATGGGAATTTATTTTAGTCCTCAAAGGACTGAAATTGGAACAAAATATTAAATTACATGACCAGAAGACGAAATATTAGAACTTTGTAACTAAAATTGCTATAATGTTAAAGACTAAAAATGTAGTTTTGCCTCCAATAATTGTACTAGGGATCCAATAATTGAAATTGTAAATGTTAAATCTATATATTTCAAATTCCTCAATGCAAACGTAGCCTAAAGTTTACCTTGCCAGTGGAAGTCCAAGTGCTGTCGAGACGCGAGATCGACGACCCTGAGGTAAAGTTTCGAGAATGCGTCGGGACTTAAAAATTGCGCAAGCCGCCGCCTCATGCGCAATCCCTCCGCACCTCCGGTCGTCGCCAAGCACGTCCCGAGCAAGTTCCTAACAGAAGTCGGCCACCAGGCGGCCACCTTCTTGTTCTCGTTGCCGAACAAAAACTTGTTCCCGGCCGGGCCCCACAGCACGACCACGCGTTCCCCCAAGAACGAAGTCTTGAAAACCGGACTCTCGTAGTTTCGAATCCTGTCCGTGACGAACTTCCCGGGCGATCCCCTGTAATTCGCGCCAAGGAACTCCAACGTCTCGCCGAGAACCGGCCATCCGAGGCTCCCGGGAGGAAGGTTTGGCGGCGACCCGTTTTTGGATTTGGGTTTGGTTTTCGACAGACGGTCCGTGACTATTATGAAGATGCATATGGTGATGATCAAGGTGACTGCAGCACTGAAGCACAAAGCTGCCATATAGAAAATCAAAAGCTTATTTGAGGCTCTGATTATTAATAACTAATGCTGGTGTTTCAAGCTAGAGTTGGATGTATATATAATTAATATCCAAATCTTACTTTATTATATGGTGTCTTTCAATGCAACTTGTTTTAAAATAACATGTCCATTGATGACTCTTGTTTTAAACTAATTATAAGGGTTAGTTGCTCCATTATTTGCTTTTGATATTTTGCTTAATTGATTGTAGCGTTGACTGTTGACCGCATTCAAGGACGCTGATTGATTTAGACATTTAGAATATCACAAATTCTTTTATGAGACGACCTAATCGCTAGGAATATCAAACCGAGATAATTATTTAACAGAAATACATACATGGCTAAAAAACATGTCTGTAGACTATGCTTATCTTCGTGGTTTCGCCAAATCACTTAGAATGAGGTGCATTAATTTAGCCGTGCATTAATTCTGTTCATGTTTATTGAGCGAGCTTGTACTCCTATATGAAAAAAGTTTCTCCGATTAGTTCACAACTTTTCTTGTTCGTACCTTGGTACAACCGACTAGTTAGTCGACTTAACTAGTGTAGAATTAGACAAAGCATGCATAAAGTCGACTAGTAATATTACCCATTTACCTCCAATCATCTCTTCAAGTAATAAAAGACGAGTTGCTCCTCGAGTAAGGCTCTTTCATACTGAGTAGGATCTTTCCCAGAAGCCATGAAAGCCACATTAACTGAATGTGTGTAATGTAATCCTCCTCAGCAGCCACTCCTCAAGGAAGAAAGATTGAAGCTGCTTTGCCATTTTCTTTTATGTCGTCTGCATTAAGTCGTAGAATATCGATCAAAAGCTGTATCGTGATTCTCCAATTAAATTCTCTACAAAGTTCTTGCAATCAATATTCCCCAGAAAAATCTAAACAACGGGTAAGAGTACAACATATGTGAAAAAAAAAAAAAACATTACAATTAGGAATAGCAACAGTATTTCTCCATCTATCTTTGTGCATTAGGAAGTGCACGAAGTTGCTTCCCTAGAACAGTTATGCACACACTTAATTTTGAGCCTAACTAGCGGAGATCGACTAATTAACTGAAAATGCTCAAAAAAGGAGTTTCCGTAGTCAGGTGAATTAGACTAATTAGGTTAGTAGCTGAAGAAATAAGCAAAATATAGCCGTTTTCCCTGGGGGACACGGCCGAGGGCGGCGGCGCTGGCGCGAAGCGCAGAAAAAATTCCTAATTTATGTGCATGATTGGATTTCGACTCACAATTTTTTTTTTTTTTCAAACGATACAGATATTATATAGAAACGCAAATGTTCAAAACTATACCACTAGCTGAATACAAACTGTCGACAGGTCAAAAGACAGCCTCAAATCGACCCAATAGGTAATACTATGAAAAACACAAAAGAAACATACGCTCCGAGAAAAAAAAAAAAAACACACACACACACACACACACAAAAAACACAACCTACACTCCTAAAAAGGAGAATGAGAAGAAAACGACTGGGGTAATACTCACTCGCTACTCAGGCAACAGGTCAACGACCCAAACCAAAAACACCAAAATGAACAGACAAACTAAAAAACACAAGGAAAAACAAAATGACAAACTAAAAAATCTAAGCTCTCTCTCGGCAGAACATCCGAATAGAACATAAGACAAAAGCCGACTCCAAGTAGAGAACCGAAACACATGAACCACGCATGCCACTGCCTAACGCCTAGTAAAGTCGACAACCCGTTCCCCGAATCAATCCAAACAAATCGACCCGCTCTCCAACCGTAAGAAGCCGCAATCATCCCCCAACCGACTAACACCACTAGCCAAGTCCGACACCTTCCCAAATTCAACTAACACCACTAGCGAATTCCGGCAACGACTGGTCTCCCTCGGACTCGGGGCCTAAAATCAAGGGAGGAAGGGAAATGAATGGCGCCCAAGCCCCTGTGCATCTGCGTGCCCGGACGAGCGACCCACTCTCCACCCAGCCCCAATAACTGAATCCAGCCCATCACCCCCACGACGCCGAGAAGCCAGCGACCGGAGTCGCAAAATATTCCCGGCGGGAGCAAAAGAACTGAAAATCAGAGGAATCTCAAGGCCTAGCGAGAAGAGTCGGCCCAACCCAAAGGAAAACACAGGCGACTCGAGCCACAACCAACCGCTGGCGCTGCACTTCACCAATCTCCACCACGCTGGGACGCTGTCGGGCATCACACAGATCCGAGCAACCTTTGAGAACCCATCCGCACACCTCGATTAAACGGAGAACGAAAAAAGCCCACGACCAGACCCTGGTTGAGCAGTGGAGGGTCGTCAACCGACGACCCAGACGGCTGTAGAAGAAGGCTCAACAGACGACAATTGAAGGAGTTAGGTTTTGGCAATATGGGGAAGAATTTTGGGACACAGGGTCGAGCATTCAAGCTCATAACATATAGACTCGAGTTGAACCCATACTGACCTTACAACACAACCTACTCGAGGATAAAGATGCAAACGAGTCGAGTCAGAGTCTGAGCCTTGTCGAACACAAATCGAACATATTTTCTTCACTGCTTGAGCTCGATTTCAAGCTCGACGAGCCATGCAAAATGCTGTTTGATTCGACTCGTAAAAACAGAAAAATGCATGACCTCAACTTGATACTCGAAATTGACTCGGTGCTCGACATGGTTTGAGTTCGTCTCGAAATTTTAAATATAAAGGTACTATTTTTAATCTAAATAAACAAATTTGAGTTTGGTGTTCGATTATGATAATTAAATTGTACAAGGTATTTATGTAAATAAAAAATCAACCGGGTCGTTGAGCTTACGAGTCTCTTGCAATGATGAGGCTCGAATGTCGAGCTAAAGACGAGCATTGACGTACACTCATTTGCATTTGGAGCCCTAGTTGGGAATTACAGAATTGACTTGTCTTCATTTTTTCCCTTAAAATAAATCGAAAAATAATAATAATTTAAATATTCTTATATTTGTCAAAGTTCAGCATCTACAATTTCGCCCCCGTAACTTTTGCCTAATTCCAAATTTGCCACAACTTCTTCTCCATCATCTCATCTCGCGCTCTCTATCCTTTTAGCTCCACAAAAATAGGACTCACAGTCATGGGCTCCCTCAGTCTCCCACCAAAACCTCTCTTCCTCGAGAAACCCACACGGTCCGACACGAATAGACACGTCCCTTTCGCCGGACTCCGCGTATTCTCCGCCGAAAGAAGCAAGTTTGCTGCTAAACGACCCAACTCGGCGCGCTCTCGCCGGAGCTCAGACGGCGTGGCCCTTTTGGTGGGAGCTGCCGGAATCGCCCTAGCCTCCATTGTGGGTCCCTCTCACGCCGCGCAGTACCCAATTCTCAGCGAACCCTCGAATGCTCTCTCTCTCCCCACATGGGCCGTTCACGTCTCCAGCGTTGTTGAATGGTAGACGATGATGATGATTCCCTGTAGTTTTGTTGATATCAGCTTCTTGTTTTTAATGATGGATTTGGAGTGGCTTATTAGGCTTTTTTTTTT